AGCAGAGATAAGCATTCCTAACAAGATATAATCTATAACTTTTTTATGTAATCAGTTATTCAACAAATCTTTTGAGCACTTACACACAATGCATTCCACTAGAAATTAGAGGTCAGGGAATGAGATGATGGACAATTAGTTATGAATGGATTTCACATCAGAAAACTCCCCTTAGCGAAAAGGGAGTAGGACAAGGTGGAGCTACAGAGGTTAAGAATCTTAAAGGATGAGGACAATGTCTATGATGAGTTCAGATTTAGAAAAGAAATTGCTATTCAGGGGAAATTTTTCTTCTTAAGTACTCAACAAGACCAAAAGGAGACAACATTAAGAACCCCTTTATTTTCAGAAAGACCTCAGTCATGAGGCCTTGATTCCAAATAAAAGTTATGCAATTAAAGTGCAGTATGAAAAGTATCATCCAGGTCTCCTTCTTTTCTCCAATACTGATCACCTCATAATTGTGGAACAATAAAGTCACGACTCTAATTCTCTAATGTAACGTTACTAATTGATGATTGCAAATGTTTTTAACACAATGATGAAATTCAGATTGAGTTTTCATAAGCTACTCTCTTAAAAGTTCACACGTGGCCTGAACATACTATAGCTGCACTTCTTTCCCTCTCTGATTCTACTTGCATGGTTCTGTAAGCACCATCTACCTTAGGGATCTGCCAGTTCTTAAAAGAAACCCAATTCCAATGGCTATAGTGAGACTAAAATGAAATATGGCAAGTAATTTAAAAAGTTAACATGCTATCCTATAAATAATACAACACTATTTAATTAATATATAAAATATTATAAAACTAGTGAATAAAACATACAGGATGTTTTACACCCATTCTTGCTAATCTCCGAAAGTCTGGGTCTAACGATATCTACCGAAGAATTCCCTGTCTCTCCTAAGCCGGGTTAAGCCACTGCGCTTGCACAACACTGTCCTCCATAAATCTCATGGATAAGAAGGATCAATGGATGTAATATATTTAAGTTTGCAAAAGAAAATTTCATGAGTTTCAAAATTACAAGTAATTAAAAAGATCAAACCATTGCTATTATGGCATTTTCTTGTAGAGACGCATAAGATTAAATGTAAGAAAATAAATTAGAATGAATGAGCCATCTAAGAATGGAGAAGAATAGAGTATGGTATTACAGATTTTATCTAAGTAGTTCCTAAGCCTATTTAGATGTTAAAACTGTATTTATTTATAAGATCTGAGAGAAGAAATACAAAGAAATCTCAATTTGAGGATGACACTCTTTCAAGTAGGAAACTACAAAACCAGTGGCGTCACATTATTATATAATCTAAGTAGGGAAGAAAAGTGACAGATGAGTTTTGAGTATTTAATTGATTCACTCATGTAATTTTTTTTTCTGATTGCCTGCTCTGTGCCAAGAACTTTTAAAGACCTAAACAAAACAGACAACAATTTCTGTTCAAACAGTGAGGAGTGAAGACAGGAGAAAATAAAAAATAAATACACCAGTAAAATATATAGTAGGTCAGATGGTGATGTGTGCCATGAAGAAAAATAAGACTAGGAAGATGAGAGGGGAGGCTCGTAGGATAGGAGTGTGTGCAGTTATAAATAGGGTGATTACAGGGAAGGCCTCACTGAGAAGGTAACATCGGAACAAAGACCAGAAGGAAGGAAGAGAACAAGTAAGTCATCTAGGCAGAGAAAATAGTAAGTGGAAAGACCCTAAGGAGGGAACATACTTGGCATTTCTTGTTTGAGCAATAAGGAGGAGGCTATGGGGCTGGAGGAGATTCAACAACAGGGGGATGACCAGAATATGTTCAGAAATATGAAGGTAGGGGTGAATCATGTAGCACCCAGTAGGTCACTGTAAGGACTTCAGCTTTTATTCTCAATGAGAATGGAAGTCGCCTGAGGATTCTGAATAGAAAATCAACATGTTCCAACATTTTAAAAAGATTACTCTGTGTTGAGAACACACACACACACACACACACACACACACACACACACACACAAGTATCAAGTATGACTCTTAAGGTTTTTGGTCTGAGCAAGAGGAAAGATGAGGTCATCATTTACTGAGATGGGAAAGACTGAGGGGGAAGGATGGCTTTGGTTGCAGTAGGTCTGAGATAACAATTAGACATTCTAGTGGAGATCATCAAGTATACAGTATGTGTTCAGGGGAGAGAACCAGGCCAGAAATACAGATTTGGGAAGGACTAGCATTTACATGGCATTTAATGCCCCAGACTGGATGGAATCACTAAGGGAGAGTGTGGAACAGAAAAGGTCCAACAACTGAGTCCTGGACATTCCAATACTAGGAATTCAGGGAGTTGAGGAGGATCTAGCAAAGAAGACAGAGAAAGAATGCCCAGTGGGGAAGAGGAAAATACTGTGTCGTAGAGGGTAAATGAAGGAAGTATTTAAAGGAAGCCATCAAGAATGGTGTCAAATGCAGCAGATATGTCAAATGGAACAGGGACCAAGAATTGGCCATCAGCTTTAGCAATGTGGAGGTCACTGGTAATCCTGTCAAGTGTAGTTCTGGTAAAGTGACAGGGATGAAAACCTGATTGAAGTGGGTCCAAGAGGGGAAGAATTGTACAGAGTGAAATTAAAAAATTATTTTGAGGAGTTTTGCAATGAAAAGAAGCAGAGAGATAGTTGGTAGCTAGACGAGGTTGTGAAATCAGGGAAATTTAAAAAAATGGTGGAGAAAATTACAGCATGTTTGTATGCTCCTGAGAATGATCGAGCAGAGAAGGAAAAAAAGACAATGCAAGACTCAGAGGACTACCATTTTTGAGTAGGCAAGAAAAAAATGGGGCCTGGTGGGTAACTGTCTTGGCCAGGAGAACAGAAACTTCACCCAAAATAATAAAGGGAAGGCAGAGTGAACGGGCTCAAATGTAGACATGTGGGGAGCTGTAGTGTTGGAGACCTGCCTAATTTTATGATTGTTTGATTTCATTTTCTTGGAAGAAAAGAAAGCAAGGTAGGTGAGTGTGCAGAATGCTCAAGATTGAGAGTATGAAGGGGTTGCAGTTTCTAGTAATGACAAGGTCCAGGATGTGGGTGCATGGGTGTGATGGTGGGGTAGAATGGAGGACAATGTCATTGAGGGAAGAGAGATAATGGGTCTCTGACCCTTCTTGAGTAACTACGTTCTATAATTTTTTTAGTTTCTGACATTAAATAATCAGTAAGAAAAGAAAGAAGAAACTGAGACGTTAAGGTCTAGAACAGCTTTTCCGAAATGAGGTTCTGCCAGAGAAAAAGATTTAAATAACTGTTTTCTCAATTATCCCACTACGAAAAATAACCAGATGAATAGGAGACAAGTTATTTCATTACATTCAATGATGCACAGGGTTGCTATGAGACGGAATCAACTAGAGGGCAACTGGTTTTAATGATACGTTAGGGCATTAAAGCTTAATTCTATCACAGAATCCTGGATAAGAATGGCAGAATAAAAGGGATTCTTTAATATACTTATTCTATTTGGATACCATTTTCCAATTTTCAGCACTTTTACATGCATATCTCATATGATTCCAACAATAACCGTATGAGATAAGCAAGTGAGTCATTATGATTTTCATTTGATTGGTGAGGCAAAAGGCAAGTACGTTAAGTGACTTGACCATCGTAAATCATACGACTGAAAGTTTTCAGGCTCTTTGTCCAACATATAATCTGCTATCCACTACAACTTCAAATTTCAGCTCAAATAAGTGTTAATTTTCTGTAAAGCATTCCCTGTCTTTCTTGAGCTGAATACTCCCACTTTTACAATCTTACTCTACACAATACAGTCATACTGCATTGTATCATGTATCTCTCTGATTCTCCACTTGACCTTAAACTCCTTGGAGACAGGAGCAGTGTGATTTTAATCTTTGCATATCTAGGACTTAACTCAAAAATATTAATGGAAAGAAGGAACCTAGGAAGGTAGCAAGAAAAATGTACAAATAATCTATTGGAAACCAAAATTTTACAGCATGTAAATATTGTGTGTGTTTGGAATTTGAAGTAGGTTTTCAAGTAGAGGAGTCCCTGTGTGGTATAAACGGTTAACATGCTTGACTGCACTGAAAAGTTGGAGGTTTGAGTTCACCCAGAGGAACCTTGGAGCCCTGGTGGTGTAGCAGTTAAGAGCTCAGGCTGCTAACCGAAAGGTTGGCAGTTCAAATCCACCAGTCACTCCTTAGAAACCCTATGAGGGCAGTTCTACTCTGCCTACACAGTCACTATGAGTGACAGTTGACTTGATGGCAATGACTTTTTTTTTTTTAGAGGCACCTTGGAAGAAATGCTTGGTGATCTACTGCCAAAAAAAAATCAGCTATTTGCAAACCCTATGAAGCACAGTTCTACTCTGACACACGTGGGGTCACCATGAATTGGAATCAACTGAATAGCTACTGGTTTTTATTTAAGTAGAGTCAGACAAGATAATTGGATTCTGGAAATGGTTTCAAAGAAGGAAAATTTGAAGGGGTAGTTATGCTTGGACAGAAAACACTAAGAAGAAACACAGTAACTATTTTTAAATATCTGAAGCTGTCATATAGAAGGGAGTGTTTCATGTTCTTTCAAAAGGCAGAGAAAAGAATCATAAATAGAAGTTACAGGGAGGCAGCTTTTGGTTTAATATTAAGAAAAAATTATCTACGCAAAAGCTAACTAAAATAGTAGGGTCTCTTGTCTCATAAACCTGTTGCCATCAACTTGATTTCAACTCTAGTGATCTTATAGGACAGAATAAACTGTCCTATAGGGTTTCCAAGGCTGTAATCTTTACGGAAGTAGACTGCCACATCTTTCTCCCATGGAACAGCTGGTGGGTTAGAACCGCTGATGTTTCAGTTAGCAGCCGAATGCTTAACCACTGCGCCACCAGGGCTCTCTTCTCATAGGATCCCTTAAAAGGATCAAATAATCAGTAAGAATACCCAGCATTTATAGTGGAAAGAGCAACAGGCTTTGTAGTTGAGAGATGTCATGCTATAATCATAACTCTATAAAGCAAGATAAACTAAAGATGGTTACTTAGTAAAAAGTCTAGAACAGTAAACTTTTGACTCTGGTTAACGTAATTCGTGACTTTTAAAAAATATCCCCTCATTGGTACTTAAACACTGATTTTGGTTTGAACATTGCTCATTCTTTTTGGACACTTTTACATCTTTCAGTATAGACATAGGTTTATTTTACGTAACTATCAATTTATGAAGAATTATTCTGAGTTTTACTCACTTTTCCCATAACATATTCCTTTTCTACTTGCAACAGGACAAAAGAAGACAATGGGCTTTTTAAGTCAAGTATGTGTCCTTTTCTTCTTTTTTGGAGTCAAGGTGTATTGCCAATATGAAACTTATCAGTGGGATGAAGACTACGATCAAGAGCCAGATGATGTCTATGAACCAGAATTCCAATTTCACCAAAATGTAGAATATGGAGTTCCTTTTCATAAGCATACTTCAGGCTGTGCCAGTGAATGCTTTTGTCCACCTAATTTTCCAACATCAATGTACTGTGATAACCGCAAACTCAAGACTATCCCAAATATTCCAATGCACATTCAGCAACTCTACCTTCAGTTCAATGAAATTGAAGCTGTGACTGAAAATCCATTCATTAATGCAACTCATCTTAAAGAAATTAATCTTAGTCACAACAAAATTAAATCTCAGAAGATTGATCATGGTGTATTTACTAAGTTTTCAAATCTACTACAGCTTCACCTAGAGCATAACAATTTAGAAGAATTTCCATTTCCTCTTCCTAAATCTTTGGAAAGACTCCTTCTTGGCTATAATGAAATCTCTAGACTGCAGGCAAATGCCATGGATGGGTTGAAAAACTTGACCATGCTTGATCTTTGTTATAATCATCTTTATGATTCTATGTTCAAAGAGAAAATCCTCTCCAAAATGGAAAAATTAATGCAGCTCAACCTATGTAGTAACAGACTGGAATCAATGCCTCCTGATTTACCTTCTTCACTTATGTATCTGTCTTTAGAAAATAATTCAATTTCTTCTATACCAGAAAATTACTTTAAGGAACTTCGAGAACTTCGTGCTCTAAGAATGTCATACAACAAACTGCAAGACATTCCATATAATATATTTAATCTTTCCAACCTTAGAGAGCTCAATGTTGGACACAACAAATTGAAGCAAGCATTCTACATTCCAAGAAATTTGGAACACCTATACATAGAAAACAATGAAATTGAAAGTATGTAAAATTTTATTATTTGTTAAAGAATGAATGGTATATTTACATTTTACTAATCTTTAATAATCTATGCTTTACACATTGCTGAAAATGGTTGCTCTGAAGTTGGCTGGGGAAATGGCAGAAATTGGCCCCAGAGAAAGACGTGCTATAAAGTTTAAGTATTTTCTATTAAATTTTACCACCTTGAACACTGAGAAATATCCTGAATGGGAGGATTACTGGTGATTTTTACTTTTTTTTTTTTTAGATTGTTTTGGTAAGAATTTATTACTTAAATACTCAGAAAAGCCAACGAAGGAATATTTATTTATATAATGTAAAACTCATTATAGTTTTATTTTCTTCATTTTCATCATTTGATTAACGTAAAAATATAATTAAATCTAATTCCACTTGCAAAACTTGATAAAACGATATCAACCATATAACATTTTAATAAAACGCATGTAGGATATTAGATGGAGTGCAGCAGGATTAATTTTTAATTTGTATTTTTCAGATATCAATGCTACACTGATGTGTCCATCTATTAACCCACTACATTATCACCATTTAACATACGTTCGTATAGACCAAAATAAGCTGAAAGAACCAATAAGCTCATACATTTTCTTCTGCTTCCCTCACATGCATAGTATTTATTATGGTGAACAAAGAAGCACTAATGGTAAAACAATACAACTGAAGACCCAAGTTTTCCGAAGACATCAAGATGATGATGATTATGATGATGATGATCATAACAATGCTTATGAAGTCCAAGAACAAGAAGGAACAGAAGAAAATTTTGACCCTCATCATTATTAAACTCAAGAATGGCAGGAAACTATATAGGTATACATTTATGACTTTACAAAACCTTATCATTCAATGCAAATCTAACTAAATACTAAATTTAAGTTGTTGATAAAATTTGCATCATAGGGATTAGAACTTACTCTCAATTATACAAATATTTGGAAATATATATTAGAGTGACAAGTGGAAATCAAAACCTAAACTTTAATGATTTCTTACACTTTTTAAATGTAAAAAGATTATTATGTTAGGGGAAAAAAGTTTGAGTATGCCATTTCTATTAACAGTGATTTTTCTAAGAATGATGAAAGGTGTAGTTTTAGAAGCTAAGAACTGGAAGCCATGTCCTTTGAACCACCATAAAAATCATGTTCCAATTATAGGAGCATATATTAATGTAACAAGCAGCCATTCAGTATAAGGAGTCAGTTATTTCCTTTGTTCTAATCACCACAAAAGCTTTCACACTTCTGTTTGCAATCTCATCACTATGGTATCCATTCCCTGGTCCCACCATTGACCAAAAACCAAACCCGTTGCCGTGGAATAAACTGCGACTCATAGTGACCCTACAGGACAGAGTAGAACTGCCCAATAGGGTTTCCAAGGCTGTAAATCTGAACAGAAGCTAACTGCCACATCTTTCTCCCACGGAGCGGCTAGGTTGGTTTGAACCACCCAGCATAGGACAATAGTTTTGATTTTCAAGAAGTTACCCTACTAAGGATCCAAGGTATACAGATTCATGATATCACCTGGTCTTGTCTTTCTCTCAGAGCACCAAAGCAACAAAATTATAAACCCTGTATATGGATAACTAAAACAATACCAAATTATCTAACTGCAATCCGTATTTTAGCAAATTTCAACTATTGTCGAAAACAATTTTTACTGTACTCCATTTGAACTGGGACAAATACGTTTTATAGTAAATTCAACTAGAGAAGTGTTTCCTGGTTTTATGTACATAGAATTTGCTATTAAGTGCTTTGTAAAATAAAGATATCCCTGGGTGATGCCAATGGTTAACTCACTTGGCTGCTAATGGAAAGGTTGGAGGTTCAAGTTTACCCAGAGATGTCTTGAAAAAAAGTCCTGACAAACTACTTCCAAAAAATCAGCCATCAAAAACCCTATAGGGCACATTCTACTCTGATACACATGGGGTCACTATGAGTTGGAATCGACTCGACTATAACTGGTTGGTTGTTCAATAAGAAATGCCTTATGCCTTATTTACATTATGCCAAAGTTGAATACAGGTCCTTTAAAATCTGAACATTAGAAGAGGCTTTAACATCTTTAAATCAATATTAATAATAAATAACATTTATCCATCATTCTGAAATATTTTCAGCATGTTTTATAATGGAGAATATCTAACTGCTGTGAGAAACTCTTGATTTACCAGGCTAACATTTCACAGAATTCATCAGATAAAGGATAAATAAAAATCTGGGGCTGCATATACAGGGAATTCAAAGAACAAATGATACCAATTTGAACAATATGCAACAACCAGACAAGCAATATTATATTCTGGAAGTAGTTTCAAGTGGTGAGCTTTCTTTTTCTGGAGATGTTAGTTAAAAATAAAGCCTCTAATGCTCTTTATACCTTTGAGTAGATTATTAGCATATATCAGAACTAGAACACCCACCTGTCCCAGGGACAATCTCAACAATCCAGAACGAACATGAACAAAACTCCATGTATTCATTTAATCAACATTATTCAAGTCATACAGCTTAGCAATGAGAGATCATGAAACAGAGTACATATGTGTGACTGTGACACTATAAGATATAAGTCTGGGAATTAAAAGTAAAATGCTAGTGATATAGACAAAGCACATTTTCAACAGAGGCAAAAAATTTTTCCCTTTGATGCAATTCTTAAAAATAGGGTTACAAACTCAAACATTTATTCTGAGCTAATATGTGCAAAATACTGTGGGTGTTTTAGGAAGTAAGTAAGATAAGACTATTTCTAAACTGTTGCTGCTGTTGTTAGTGGTCCGTTGAGTCAATTTCGACTCATGGTGGCCCCATGTTTGTCAGAGTAGTAGGGTTTTCAAGGCTGTGACCTTTCGGAGGCAGATCACCAGGCCTGTCTTCCAAGGCACCGCTGGGTGGGTTTCAATTGCCAATCTTTTGGCTAGTAGTTGGGTGCTTAACCTTTTGCACCACCCAGGAACTCCATTTCTAAACTACAGGAATTTAAAATTTAATGAGGAGCCATCAGGGAAATGTAAATCAAAACCACAATGCAATACCCATTCATATCTACTAAAATGGTTATAATTAAAAAGTCAGATATTAAAGAGTGTTGTCAAGGAGGTAGAGAAATATGGCACTCTCATATATTGCTGGTAGGATTAGAGCTGCTTTGGAAAGCAGTCTGGCAGTTTCCCAAAAAGTTAAACAAATTCTGCTCCTAGGTTTACACCCAAGAATATCGAACACATATGTTCACACTAAAACTTATACATGAATGTTCATAGCACCATAGCAAAAGCATAACAAAACAAACCAAAACTCCATCAGCTGATGAATGGATAAACAAAATGTAGTATTATATACATACAATGGAATATTGTTTGTTCATAAAAAGAAATGAAGTACTGATACATGCTATGATTCAGATGAACCATGAAACATTATGCTAAGTGAAAAAAGCAGGACACAAAAACCCACATATTATATGATTTCATTTATATAAAATGTCTAGAACAGGCAAATCTACAGCAAGGAAAATATTAGTAGCCAAGGGCTGCTGAGGGTGGGAATTAGAGAGAAATGGGGAGTGATGCTAATGAGTATAAAGTTCCCTTGTGGAATAAAGAAAATGTTCTAAAATTGATTGTGGAGATAAATGCACAGCTCTATGAAATTACTAAAAACCATTGAACCGTACAGTTTAAATTTTAATGTTAAATTTTAAACATTGTACACTTTAAATGAGTGAATTGCATGGTATGTACATTATCTCAATAAAGCTACTATTAAAAAACTTAATGGAGAAGATAAGATTAAACAACTCACTCTAATAGAAGGAAAAAATAAAATGACTGCTGAAGTGTCAGTAACTGTGAAAAGCTATGTGAGTATAGATACCACACTTTTTACTTCTGGCTAGGGAGTAATGAAGTAGCTGAGGGCTTCCAGGAAGAAAAGACACCTTGATAAGTAGGAACCCACTGGCAGAAAATGGAGAAAACAAGCTCCAGAAGTTGAGGCGTGGTGATTTTTTGTTTCACCTTCCGCAAAGTTCAAAGCAAACAAACAAACAAAAACCCTCCAATTTTCAGAATTCCTGAGCTGCTAAGAGAAAATACACTGCAATTCTCAAAGAACAGCCTTAGCTAAGAATAAAATTGCATGACTTTACACTTCTTAGCTGGGTGACCTTGAATAAGTTACTTAGATTCTCTAAGCTTTTCTTTTCTCATTTTTATGTAGAAGATAGTTCTCGCAGGATATTATAAGGATAAAAAGAAACAATGTACATAATAAAGCATTTAACAAAGTGCAGACTATAGGTAGGCAATAAACAGTAACTATTATTTTCAACTGCTCTAGCAGAGCAGACAACTAGACACATGTTAGCTGGGCTTAAACACTCCTGTGTCAATCTGGGTGCTAATCCCTTGCGATGTTTCATTTTGTTTTTGGTACCAGAGAGCACAGAGAACGGAGACAGTCAGCATCTCTTCAGGTTCCTTCGAAGATTCTACTCATACAAAGATAAAGGTTTCATTAGGGAGAGAGGGGAGAGTGCCTAAACATTCAACAACAAACAAATTCAAAATTACTCTTTGATAGTTCTGCTTTCCAAAGTACCCTTCTGCATGGCCTACCATGGAGAGGAGAGAGGGTTTGCTCCACCCTCCCTCACATGGCACTCAGCTCCAGGCTCCTCTCTCCCAAGAGAACCTTAAAACTCTCCTCTGTGTATCAGGAAGAACAATTCAACTCTACTCTTGGTGCCTCTTTCCAAAGCTGTGTATATTTAAACTTATCACAAAGCTCAGCAAAACAAAAGGTTAATAGTTAACATGATCCATTGAGTAGGCAATCTGACAACTTTCTTGTGTTATTTGAATATGCCCTTGGGGTACTCATACCCACCCCAAATATTTCTGATTAAAAACAAAAACAAAACAAAAAACAATACTCCCCTAGCAGAAACTCTAACAAATAAAAATTTCTTCAACTAGTACTCAAGATTACTATTACATATCAGAGCTACAGACTAAAATAGTTGATTAAATGTTTATAACATGAAAGCAAAACATGAAAAATCATATATTATTTTTCTCATTATACTTCAAAGAATCTAGTTATATTACCTAATAGACTGAACTGTTTTTGTGATGATAAACAAATAAAATTGGTTTTTATAATTACATGTGAATTCCACACCATAAATTCAAGTTTAGTAAACAACATAAAAGCTTAACAAACATGCATTTAGCTTTTAGAGAATACAAATAAAGGATATTTAATAAATTCACTTACAATAATACTGGTTAGCCTGTGTTTAAATATTACTTGAAACACTATACATTTTCACTTTATTCCTCAAGTTTGGGACCACTAAACTGAAATACACACCTATGTATATCATATAACCAACTACACAGGAGGAAAAAAAGAATGACAAACCCTGTCTTTTCTATATACTTCTCCTATTGCAAAGAATTCATATGACCCCAAGGACAGCTAGAACTAAAACTCTGGTTTCCTGATTCTGAATCTATTTCTAAACCCTGGAAGTATTACAACAGCTGGAAACTAGATTAAATCATAACAGCTAAAAGCCTAAAGTTTCTTATATGCTCCAATTTCCAAAAAAAATATAACTATGCCTAGCAAGTAAAAATCATGGACACATTTGTCATCACTTTACATGTTTAGGTTGACAATTCAACTGTAACGACCTTTATGCATTACTTAGAAAGAGTAAATCTGCAAGTAAGATACATTTTTTATCATGAGCTAGAATTCTCCTCCCTTTAAGTTTCACCCTTTAGTGTGGGAAGTAAATGGATTCCCATCTTTATCTCATTTGACCAAATGACTGGGCTTCATGTATAGGCACACTATCTAAGATGGAGATTCAAACCATAGACTTCCCATAAAAATCATAGAATGTTAGGTTTAAAAGGGTCTATAAGTACCTAGAAAAACTCAGTGGCTCTTAACTGGGGGCAAGTTTGCCCTCCAAGGAACATTTGGCAATGTCTGGAGACATTTTTGGTTGTCACATCTGGGAGTGGAGGTACTACTGCAATCTAGTGGGTAGAGGCCAGGGATGCTGCTAAATCCACAACATACAGGGCAGTGTTCCACCACGAAACATTATCTAATCCAAAATGTCAATAGTGCCAAGGTTGAGAAACTGTAGTAACTAGATTCTAAAAAACAATAAAAGAAATCAAGGCCCAAAGAAGCTACAGCAAATAACTTGCTGAAGATCATGGGAGGATTAATGACAGAACTAGCACTTTAGGTGCTCTAACTCCTAAACCACACTATTTCCTATAGAGTTAGAGGGTATAGATGAAAGATGGGCAAAGACTCTTCCTGCCTGTGGCCTTTCTTGAATAGCGAATCCACTCAGTAGTTATACAATCTCTATCAGTAGAACCAAGCCACCTCCAAAGAATACTCCTTTCCAGGGCTACCTTGTTTCTATAACTCAATTCCATTCAATATATTTTTTGAAATCTACTGCCGAGAAACAATTGAGAAGTAGAACCAACAGACCAATGGGACGGGATACCTTTGAAAATAAAAAAAAAATCTCTAGAAAGACACCAAGGATAATGCAATAATCAGGTTACCTAAAAGAATTCCACGGAGAAAACTTTTTTCATTTTTGGAAAAATGGTTGCTCTTGAATATTAGACACCTTTCATCTTTTACTACTGTACTAAACCAAACCCATTGCTGTCAAGTTGGTTCTGACTCATAGCAACCCTATAGGACATAGTAGAACTGCCCCTTAGGGATTCCAAAGCTGCAAATCTTTACGGTAGCAGACTACCACATCTTTCTCCTGCAGAGTGGCTGGTGGGTTTGAACCTCTGACCTTTCAGTTAGCAGCCAAGCGCTTAACCACGGTGCCACTACAGCTCCTTTCATTACTGTACAGTGAAGGCTAAATAGCTTTATAAAAGGATACAACAGTTCTTTGCGGAATAGAAAGCAACTTATGTTTCAAACATATTTTAATTAGGAACATAGGTTTATTTTCCAGTTTAATTCTATTTCCAGACTCTTTCCTTGCCTAATCCTCTCCCCTTCAGGTGTGTGTGACCTGTAATTTGCTTCCAAGTAAATATAGCAAAGGTGTTCACGTATATGTGATTACATGTATGTGATTATGTTACATAAGATTGTAACACCCATCTTGCTAGGTGACTATCTCCCTCTCTGGCAGTGAAGAAGCAAGCTGCTATGTCATGAGCTGCCCTTTAAAGAAGGCCATGTGGCAAGGAACTAAGGGTAGCCTTTGGCTGACAGCCAGCAAGCAACTGAAGCCCTAAGACCCAGGGCCTGCAGAGAATTAAACGCTGCCAACAACTACATGGGCTTAGAAGTAGATCTTTTCCTCCTCAAGTCTTGAAGTTAGACCTCAACCCTGGCTAACACCTTGATTGCAGCTTTCAGATACGATCCTGAAGCAGAGAAACAAGCAAAGCCACGCCAGGACTCCTGACACATGGAAACTGTGAAATGATAAATGCATGTTATTTTAAGTTGCTAAATTTGCGATAATTCCTATTATAATAGACAAGCATTGGTATTATTCAAAAACGCAACATTAGAAGGATATTTCTAAAATGCAGATTGGATCATGTCACTCTCTCAGTGGTGTCAAACTGCCTACAGAATGCAGCCCAGACACCTTAGCAGGGTATAAAAGACTCTCCCTAATCTGACCTCTATTTCCCTGTTTAGTCACATCTCTTAAAAGTATGCTTTATTCCCCTCATCTCTTCTCTCTCACCCTCCAAGCCCCAGCCATATGTAACTAATTATAAAACTTCTAAAGAATGTATCCCCACAGCTCCTACCTGTGTGCTGCTACTCTTACCTAGAACATCTCACCCCCACCTCTACCCTCTTCTTGTATTTGCTCTTGGGTGCAGCCTCTTTGGCAAAGCCTTCCATGACCTCACCTGATCAAGGTTTATGGCCTTTCCCAGCCTAACACAGAACTCTGCACATTTCTGTGCAGCAGGCATCACCTTACATTTTAATTACCTGTGTGTTGCCTCTCCTGCAGACTCAGAGACTACAAGTTCCTTAAGGGGAGAACCTGAGTTTTATTTGTCTGAGTATCTACATCACAGAACTAGTGCTCAATAAACTTTTATTAAATGAATGAATGCCAATAAAATTTTATTCCCTGGCCATAATTTTTCAATTAAATATGTTACAATCAACAAAATAATTTTCCATTGTATAAAATATCACATTGTAGATACCATTAATAAAACCATGAATCTCTAAATGTAGAGATTTTAACATCTATCCAGGTCACTTCTTAACATCCTATTAAAAATGCCATACAATGCAAAAACAAAACTAATACTTGCTGCTTCATTATTCAAAAGGTTTTAAAGTCAATTTTAAATAGAAAACAAATTAGTACTTTTTCCATTTTGTAATATGATATTTATCCATATTTGTTAAATTTTTAGCTTAGAGGAGAAAGAAATGTTAAAAAATAAAAGTGAAACTTTAAAGATGCCTATAATGTATTTAAAAATATCATTTTAACATTTTAAAATAAAATTTAATATTAAAATAATTTTTATACAATTCCCCTCACTTAGCAAACAAAAATATCTTTTTTCCCTCAAATGCCAAATTACAAAATTATTTTTAAAAACAACTAATTCTCACATTTGGGTTTTTGTTATATGTAACTATAATAAAGGGGAAAACCTCTAAAATGATGAAACAATAAATTCATTTGTGCTAAAATTAATTTTTAGATTGAAAAGTTTTTGGATATAAACTAAGTGTACTACTGAAACAATATTTTTACTCATAAAATTAAGAGTATAGACTATGCTTTGGTTTGGTGTTCTATTTCATTCAAAAAACAGATGTTTTATATTCTAGGAAAGCATTGAAATGAAAAGCACAACTTTATAACTGTCCTCATCATAAACTAATATTCACTAAAACATTAGTGTTTCCTACACAAGGTAAAAATATAATGAGAGTAGGGTAAATTAGTAGAAGCAAACAATACAGAGCTACAAATATTTTAAGCACAGTTCTCTAGTACAACACACTGCATTTCACCCTAGAGAAAGAATGTTGGCAAAGACCTCCACCACGTGGAAACTAATTTTAAAGCTGTTGGACCCTAAAATTTTATTCAGCAGTTTGAAATCAATCCACAGCTTTCCTCATTCACCTTCCCACTTGGGGCTAATGCACAGGCATGAACATCTATTCAGGAAAACCACAAAAAACTTCAAAACAGCTAAAACGGTAGGCTCTTTATTCACAAACTATTTTAAATATTGTTTGTTACAGTGTGACTCATCTAACATTAATAATAAATGTAAAGTCCATCTCTTTAATTTTTTTAAGTTTGTTACCTTGAACAATCTTTAAAAAATACTTTTGTATAAAAAATACTTAAATACTTTTAGATAACTTTAAGATCCATGTAGACAAGAACAGGGTGCTGAAAGCCATAAAACCATTTTATTCTTAATATCCAACCACTGGATTTTTGACACACTGACATCTAGAATACGATGACAACAATTCAGAGTGATTGTGTTTGAAGTTACTTAAGAAAAAGCCTGAAATGTGCACCCACCAGATAAAATCCACTGGTAACCCTAAAAAGAATTCTTTTCATTACATTCCCCAAAGTTCCCTGATTAAAGTTTTATGTCCTGTAGTCTGCAATACAGTTTTTTAATTTTCTATAATTAAAAACTTAGAAAGAAAATATTAACCAAAAATAAGATAGTGATATCTATTAAAATTATAAAACTGAAAAAATTAAAGACTTACAGCTTTTACTTTATTCTGTACAACTTAAAAGTAAGTGTAAATGACTACTTTTCATGATGTTAAATTTAAAGTTTAAGTTTTAAAACTTTTCTTGGAACTCGTTTCTGTTTATACCAACGCAAATCAAGAATTCTTATAAAGTAGCAAAGCTGAAATATGATATCTAACTCACATGAGAGAAGACATTGAGTATTCATTTTAACTATTTATACTACAGGTATTCTAAGAAGTTTCCAATTGCAAACAAGTAACTCTGTTCACAGCAGCTAATTATGAAGACACTGAAATTATCAACATTGCTTGAAATAACTGATAAAGAAGAACTATAACTATTTTCTGAAACTATTTTTCAGAATATTCACTGATACTAAAAATGTTAGCATCTAATTCACTAAGGGTTAAATACTTGGTCTCTGGGCTCCTAATGCTAAAACCCTGCCAAAAAGTTCTCTAAGCTTTAAATATTGTTTCGATGGTCTGCATTTTTATTTTCAGGGAAAAAGAGAATATTGTCCTACGGTCAGCAGGTCACTAGTTATTAACTTGGAGTCACCTTGATTTTTGCTAAAATGAAGACTCTGCAGTCTATACTTCTTCTGTTACTGCTTGCGCCTTTGATAAAGCCAGCACCACCAACTCAGCAGGACTTACGCAGTATCTATGATTACGGAACAGACAATTTTGAAGAAACCATATTTAGCGAAGATTATGAGGATAAATACCTGGATGGAAAAAATATTAAGGTACTTTATTTCTATTCTAAATTCAACTTCTAAAACAGTAGCCCATTTAAATGCATGATTTTGTTTTTCTTAAAAGTGTGTGTGATAGGTGAAGGGAGAGGATAATATCTTAAACGATTCAAAAGTAATTGTTCCTACAATTATATTTTTAGAGTATGCATGCCTCCCAAATTAATAAACAGCATCTATGGTAACTAAATAGTATCTATAGCAACAACAACAACAACAAAAAAACACTTTAGAAAAACTAGACTTTAAGATGATCCTTGACTCATTAAGACTTGTATGTTAAGTAATGTTACACAGTGCCCGATACTTGCATATTATATTGCCTCAAAAATAAATTAGAAGAAATGTGTATTAGGAGAAATAAAGATGAATTATCAGCTTAAGGCTTATTATTTTAGGAAAAAGAAGTTCAAGGAAATAAACAGAAGAGTACTGATTATTCTGGTATCTATAGCATTTCACAATAATTTATGTATGTCAACAACACACAGTACCAAAAAGTAATAAACTATTTATATGGGACTTTCTTTTTTAAATCAGTTTCAACAGCTTAGACTCTTTATCAATCTTTACGAAGTAACTGGCATCAAGCTAATACTCTGCAGGGAGGACTTTTTTACCACATTAATCACACCACTCCTTTATGGGCTAAGTAATTACTCGTGCTTTTTTTGGCACACAGAAATGAAGGCTGGATAAGGAAAAAGTTAATACAGCACATAAGAATCTCTTGCCCATTCTGCCTCACTCACACATACACACACACACAAACACACAAATAATGGAAAATGAGAAATGTAGCCAAATATATAACAATGTAGATTGCTTCAAAAGTTCTTCTCCACTGTAAATAAGTTGGTAAAGACTTTAAGATCGACCTGTTATAATCACTTTTTTCCTTTTTTTTTTAAGTGCACAATGAGCAAATACTAACTTCACAGTTTCTTTCAATGGAGTTAATCTGCTAGTATTATTTTTGCCCATTATTAAGGAAAAAAAAAAATAGGTAAAACTAGTTATAGCATCAAATTAAAAAAAAGAAACATATAAGCTATTGTCAACAAAATTTGACTCTAATAATTAATTATAAAACACTTTCACAATTCCCTGGTTTCTAAAAAATAACAAGGTTAGACATGATTTGCTCTCTGCTTCTTCTCTTCACAGGGTATTAGTAAGTTTCTCTATCCTAATATAAATGCAGGACTAAGGTACTTTTAAAGAGGAGTAGAATTCAACAGGACTTGATATACAAATGTAGAGTGAGGAAGAAATATTCAATTAGAACACACGTGGGAAAATGAAGGCTAAGGACAGAGTTAAGCGTCAAGACTGAGACTAAATGTGGAAAAAATGCTTACAAAGGATAGAAAGAATAGGACCCTTCGTAATAGACTTTAATCTAACAGCAGAAAATGTACTCTCCTACAGCAGAAAAGAAGACAGTAAATGATAAAAGACCTAACCCCCTAGAGTTAACAGCCTAGACTGGCAGTATGCAGCAGGATGCGTAGGCTTGGATAAAAGAGCTCTAAGAAAACAACGACCAGAACAGAAGTACTGGAAATGTTCACAAATTGTGAAGAATGTAACCAATTTACTGAACAATTTGTGTAGAAACTACTGAATGGGAATCTAAACTGCTGTGTAAACCCTCACCAAAAACACAATATTATTTTAAAAAAAAGCTCTAAGGGTCAGGGCATAATGGAGGCATCTATGTAATTCAAAGGGTCACCACCAGAAGAGAACAAAAGAGCTCACTCAGTCCTTTACAAGTGTGAAACAACCGATGTTTTAGTCCCGTTCCAAACTGTAGAGTATGATATAGGAACTCACTTTCAGACAAGAACCATAAAGAATAATTAAAAGAGCTACTCTACATAAAGATTATTTCAAGATAGCATCTTCATTTCAGGTGTTCACCTCAGAAAAATTTTCATTCCAATTTAGAGAATTCCCTCTTAGCTCTTGTTTTGAATTTCAGTATGTTCAACACTTACTAAGCACTCAGTTCAGCTATTAGAGATTTAAAAAAAAAAAAAAAGTAAAAGACCTAGTTCTTTTACTCAAGGAGGCCACAGTATGGAGTGAAAGGAAGCTAACCAAAAATTTACATTTTAATTTAAAAATTGATGAAATGAAGTAATGTATAGACTCCTATATGGACATAAAAAAATGTCACTAACTGTGACTATGAGAAGATAAATGCAATCCCTCAGCTTTATAGTAATAAACTTTTATTTTTCTAATAGGAAAAAGAATCTATAATAATACCTGATGGGAAAAGTCTTCAATTACAGAAAGATGAGAGTGTAACAACCTTACCCCCCAAGAAAGAAAATGAAGGTAAGTATTAATACTCTTAGCATCTAAATTTTGTTCCCAAAAGAATCTTTAAAAAACGGCTTATATCTGAACGGGATTCACAACAGAGGGTACTGGACAGAGCTGGAGAAGGATGTAGAACAAAATTCTACCACACACAAAAAGACCAGATTTACTGGCCTGACAGAGACTGGAGAAACCCCGAGAGTATGGCCCCCGGACACCCTTTTAGCTCAGTGGTGAAGTCACTCCTGAGGTTCACCGTTCAGCTGGGGATTGGACAGCCTTATAAAACAAAACGGGACTAATGAGGCACAGCAGTCCAGGGACAAGGACTAGAAGGCAGAAAGGGAAAGGAAAGCTGGTGATAGGGAACCCAAGATTGAGTAAGAACAGTGTTGACACGTGGTGGGGTTCTTAACCATTGTCATAGGGCAATACGTGTACTGTTTAATGAGAAACTATTTTGTTCTGTAAACCTTCATCTAAAGTGAGA